CAAGCCAGGAAATCTCATTTGCTATAGCAACAAGAAAAATAAAGTGCCTAAAAAGAAATCTAAGCAAGGAGGTAAAAGACCTGTATTCAGAAAAGTATACAACATTGAAGAAAGAAATTAAGGAAGACACAAACAAATGGAAGCATGTATCATGTTCATGAATTGGAAGAATTAACATCATCAAAATGTGCATAGTACCCAAAGAAATTTATATATTCAACACAATCCCTATTAAAGTACCAATGATGTATTTCACAGATAAAGAAAAAACATTTCAAAAATTAAATGGAACCATAAGCGACCCCAAATAGCTGAAGCAATTTTGAGAAAGAAGAACAAAGTAGGTAGAACCACAATAGCTGATATCAAACTGTATTACAAGGTCACAGTAATAAAAGCAGCCTGATATTGGCATGAGAACAGACACACAGACCAGTGGGACAGAATAGAGAGCCCAGAAATAAACCCAAGTCTCTATGGCCAATTAATATTCAACAAAGGGGGCAGAAGCATAAAATGGAGTAAAAATTGCCTCTTCAACAAATGGTGTTGGGAGATCTGGACAGCTACATGCAAAAAAAAAAAAAAAAAAAGAGAGAGAGAGAGAGAGGAAACTTCATCACCAACTCACATCATATAGAAAAATAAATTCAAGGTGGATAAAAGAATTAAATATAAACCATGACACCAAAAGTTTTTGCTGACCTGACAAAAACAGGTATAATTTTGACTCATTCACACGGGATGACTATTGGGTTGGCTGTTGTCATTTTATTCCCTGATAATGAAGGGAAAAGAAGTCAGTGCCTCTGACTAAATAGTCAGGTATTGCATGTTTTAAAAATTCTAGCCACACACCTGTGTGTTTGCGGCAGCATACCAGTTGAAAATCGCTGGTCTAGTCTACATTCTGTCTCTATTTTAGGGACCTCATATACATAGAATCATATAGTATGTCCTTTCCTAACTGGCTTTATTCACTTAGCATAATGTCTCCAAGACTTATCCATATTGTAGCATTTATTGGAATTCCATTCCTTTTTAAGTTGGAATAATATTCTGTTTTATAGATGGACCACAGTTCATTTATCTATCATCCATTTCCACCTTTTAGCTATTGTGACTAACGCTGCTTACAATGGTGTAATAATATAACAGCTGTTTGAGTGTCTGCTTTTTTTTTTTAATCCTCACCCAAAGACATTCTTTCATTGCTTCTAGACAGGAAGGAAGAGGTTGAGGGAGAGACACATCAATTAGTTGCATTCTTGTATGTACCCTGATTCGAGATTAAACCCACAATCTGAGTGAGTGCCCTCATTAGGAATTGAACTCACAACTTTTGGTCTAGAAGACAATCCAACCAACTGAGTCACAATGGCCAAAGCCTGAGTCGCTGCTTTTAATTTTGGGGGGTATATATTCAAAGTGGAATTGCTGGATCAAATGGTTATATTATGTTTAATTTTTTGAGGAACATCCATGCTATTTCCCACAGTGGCCATACCATTTTACATCCCTAGTAGCAATGTGAAAGTATTACAATTTCTCTACACCCTTGCCAATAATTATTTTCTTTTTTTCCCCCCGATAGTAATGGGTGTGAAGTGGCATCTCACTGTGGTTTTGATTTGCATTTCCCTAATAGTCACGCTGAGGATCTTTTCATGTGAGAATCAGCCATTTGTATATCTTTGGAGAAATATCTATTCCAGCTTGCCCACTTCTAAATTGTTTTTTTATTGTTGAGTTGCAGAAGTTCTTTACATTTTCTGGATATTAGCCCCCTATATATAATCTGCAAATATTTTCTCCCATCCAGTAGGTTGCCTTTTCACTATTGATAGTGTACCTGATTCACAACTTTTTAATTTTTCTTTTGTTTCTTATGTCTTAAATCTCTTTTGATATACAGGTTCTCCCTTCTCTTTTTCCCCCCTTTCAATTAATTTGTTGAAGAAATCTGGTTATTTGTCCTGTAAGGGTTATTATAGCCTAGAAAATTTTGATGATTGCATCTTCTTGGTGTCATTTCATGTTCCTCTAACTTTTACATTTTCTAATAACTGGTACTTAGATCCAGAGCTGTGCTCAGATGTGGGGATCAGACCCACAAACTAGGTATGTACCCTGACTGGAGATTGAACCTGCAACCTTTTGGTGTATGGGACAAGGCTCCAACCAACTAAGCTACCCAGCCAGGGCTATGGCAAGAATTCTTAATAGATGATGCTGTGTATACCAGGAGGCTGAAATGCAAATATATATAGAAGATGCTACATATCGCTGAGAGATATTGATAATAAGAGTTATAGAACTTCAGAAAAATGTGAAATTATTTCCCAGGTTTGGATGATCATAAGTATAATTTTCACCCATCCTTTAGATGGGTGAAAAATTTAAGTAAGCAGGTATAAGTGGGGAAGAAGCGTAAGATAAATAAAAATTAATATAAAAATTAGAAAGAGAACCCTGGCCTGTGTGGCTCAGTTGCTTGGAGAGTTGTCCCATGGACCAAAGGGTTGTGGGTTTGACTCTGGTCAGGGAACATGGCTTGGATGCAAGTTTGGCCCCTGGTCAGGCAGGTACAGGAGGTGGACAATCGATATTTTTCTCTCACATCAATGTTTCTCTGAAACTCTCTCTTTCTCTCAGACCAATGAATAAAGTGTCCTTGAGTGATAATTAAAATTAAAAAAATTAAAAACTAAAAAGATTGTTGGAAGAACAATACAAGCTAATTAAAGTAAAGCTAATACGGTAGTACAGAAAGGAGAAGTGATGGAGAGATGATGGCAGAGGAGTAAGACCACACCCTAATGGCTCTCAATCACGTAAAGCAAAGATGTGGGACCCCAGTCATTCAGATCAAGGCAGGTAAGGGTTTTACATCCAGGTTTTCTGTGTTTTAGCTATAACTAACTTCAGGTATGTATTTAAATGTCTTTGATAACTTACTTTATTTTGCATCACCAACTTTTCTGTTGTTTTTATATTTTAGAGCAGGAGTACTTCTCTTTCATAAAAAAGCCTATAGGAAGTCTTCTGATGCTTTTTTCTTTAAAACATTCAGTGTTCATATGAAGACACTCTAATATTAATAGTTGAAGGAACAAAGTATTTCATCTCTTGACTATCACAAAAAAGTCAATAGTCTTTTTCTAATTTTCAAAGGAATATGGCAATGTGAAGAAATGGCCAATGTGCTAGACTGAACTGGGCTTGGTGCCAAAAAAAGACCTCATGTTTCTTTCCTCTAGACATAAGTCCATGTCTTTTACACAGGGGAGCTGTTTATAAAAGAAAATTCTCATCTTTCTTTGATATACTGATGTAAATAAAAAGCTTGTATGGGAGGAACTCCATCCCAAAGAATTCCTCAGATGAGAAATAAGTCATCCTAGACACAATCTTGCTGTTCCACTGGGGGGTGGCGATTCCCTCCAGTGGAGAATGCCTCAAGCTCTTCTACCAAATGGCTTGTATTGGTAATGGTACATGTAGATATATACAACATACATGCATAGCTCATCAATCAATGTCAAAAGGCTATAATCATACAAAAACAGGTATTATCTATAGATAACAACGGAAGGAACACAGAGATCTGTCATAGGTCAGGGTTTGTTAGTCATATTGATGCCAGATGGTCTTTGAGACATGGTTTATGAGATAAGGAGTTTACTCCTTGTGCCTTGAGCTTAAAACATCCGGTTTATATAAACAGAGCCATACAAAGCAAAGCAGAGCAAACTTCAAAGGATACAAAGTATTTATCAGGCCTGATTCTCACGGGAACCCTTGGTGTTAAGAGTCGGGTCATGCCTACCACCTGTGTTACCTGGTTTTCCAGGGAGACTTACTAGCCCCTTTCAGAGCCTGGTCTCATGGGGCTGCAATCTCTGAAACCACACAGAGTGGTCCTAACAAGCTTAAATAAACACAGTTGAGGCAGTGTGAAAATAGCATCCTATACTCTCAAGATAGATTATAGACAAGATATTTGTACAAGAGCATTCTAGGCACCTGCCCTCTGAAAATACTTTCTAAAAAAACCCAGCACTTCAGAATATTTAGAGGAGAAATAAGTTAATACATACTTGTCATGTCTAATTGTAAAACAAATGCTATTAAATGGCAATGTTTAAAAACTGCATATGAAATAGAGAAATACTTCAAATAATTATATTAAAAAATTTGTTGAAAAATCCTTAGGAGCCACCTGAAAAGATGATTAAATTCTGTTACTATGCTTCTCTGGAAATATTTGAAAACTGGAGTCATATTTACGTATTTATTTAGAGAGGGAGAAGAGAGGGAGAAAGGGAGAGAAACATCAATGTGACAGAGCACTACTGACTGAATTCTTAGTTGTCTGCCTCTCACATGCAGCCTCACCTGGGACTGAATGCAGAACCTAGGCACGTGCACTGTCCAGGTATTGAACATGTGACCTCTTGCTTTGTGGGACACCACCCAACCAGTTGAGCTGCACCAGTGAGGGCTATATTTAGTACATTTTTGAGGGTGGTATTACACTGAGAATTCTGTTTGGGTTTAAAAAGCAGAAAATAACTATGACTTACAATTTCCTTTTTTATAATACATGGTGGGTAAAATTTTTTATTTCAAGAAATTAATATAGTACCATTAGCTAGTTACGAGATTGTGGAAACTTTAATAATTCTTTTATGTGAATTCTGTGAGGCCTTCTCTTGTTACTTTAGACAGTCTGCCTTACTCCTCTATCCTGGCCTTAATGAAAATTGATGCTTGAATAATTTATGTGTAATGCTAAGAGTTTGACAAAGTTATTTATTTAATGAGTATTTTATTATGACTCAAAACATATAATAAGTAACATGGTGTTGTAACATTCTCTCTATATAGTCTCTCCTGTATATTCTCTAACACACAGCTGCAAACCTTATATCATGATTCGTTAATAATACTTTGGTTAATTAAAACACTTAAGAAGAAACTCAACAAATCACAATTACCTTTATCACCAAGGTCTCTAAAAAAGGTTGATCCACAATGAGTTCTTTGGATTGCTGCCAGTACATCCTCGATATCCTTCAAATATACAGATATTAAAATATTTTAATTTAATTTATAAAAGTTCATTTTCTATTATAAAGAAAATTTACAAAAAGAACTGCTCCCTACACACACTGCTTACCTTTTCTGTCAGCTTCTTGACTGAAGTTTTACCTAAAGCAAAGAAAAACGTTACTTATTACCTACATTCCTTGGTCAAACTTGATCTCCATTAAGAAAGAAATCATTTAAAAATCAAAACAATCAAATATTTATTTTTAAAAAAGTTTGGCAATTTCAGCTAAAATTTCTAAATGAAAGTTATGATCCAGAGAATTCTATATCTGAACACAAAGACACTGCAGGTTCTTTGTAAGCCCTATTTTCAATTTCATTCACCCCATCTTAGACACATGACGTACTTTGCATATAATATCCTATTATTTTCAGGTGTGCATCATTGTGATTTGACAATTATATGCATTATGAGTGATCACCACAATAAGTCTAGTTACCTTCTGTCACCATACAAAGTTTTTATAATATTATTGACCACATTCCTTATGCTCTATTTTACATAACTTTTACCTCTTATTCCCCTTCACTTATTTTGGCTGCTCCGTAACCTCCCTGCTCTAGAAACCACCAGTTTGTTTCTTGTATCTATGAATTTTTTTTTTTTAGATTCCACATATAAGTGAAATCATGCATTTGTCTTTGTCTTATTTCACACAGCATAATACCTTTCAGGTCTATCCACTGACATGATCCCTTATTAAGTATCTTTGACTTATCTTAGTTGTCTGCATCATAAATTCTTGCCAAACATAGTTTTGTTTACATAATTATTAAATGTGTCTTTGTGCTCTACTGATTAAAAATACAGCTTCATGTTTTAGAAAGCTATTTTTTTGAACCCTGAAAAGTTCTCTTAAGCTTAGAACTCTGCAGTCAAATTTAAAAGGCTAACATGACTATCCACTCTAAGATGATGTCACTTTTAATACTTTGCTACTGGATTTAAATTCTTTCAGATTTCAGCCATTTTCTCTACTGATTATATCACTTTCCTTTTACCCACTGTAATTCTATAGCTATCACACTGTTTCTTTTGTTGGAACTTATTCTGATAGTCTGCCATTTTACACATCTAGAATAATGCTGGAAAAGATCCTGTTTTGTTTCTTACATAAGCCATGTGTATCAACAAACTTCCATTTGCTCTCAAAAAGAAGTTCCTTCAATACACTGAAAATTCATGTGACGAGTTAAAAAAGTGAATACTTTCACATGTCCTATTCTGTAGTTTGGATACTTACTTAGAACTATAAACCTAGTGGGGATAAATTCTATTATTTGATGTTATAAATTGTCGATTTTATTTTTGTATTATTAATCATATTATGGATATTATGATTTTTAGAAACACTTATACCATGTTCATAAGCTTAGGTATTCCATTTTGGGCTAATTGTTATTCCTGATACATTATTACACGTCACCAAATAACAAAGAACCCTAGACTGTAATATTAACCTATTAACCCTAGACTGTAATATCTCCCATGAGATGGTCACAGAGATAAACCTTACCAATTATTTTACAAATCTAAGAGTCCATGTGAATGTGTATGTAGAATTGTAGTAATATGATGTTGATACAAATCACAGAAAACTGTGTAGTACACGTGTTTTTCTACTTTTGCATATTCTATTAACTTAAAAAAGGAACAATGATTCATATGCCTCATACTGTTTTCATTAAAGTTGTGTAACAAATTATTCATTACCATATGCACTTACATTTTTAGACATTTAAGGTTAGTCTTATCAGTTTTTTAAAGAAAGATTGATAAGGATCAGTTCCTAATGAAAAGAAGTGTTCTAGGAAGTAAAACTGACATCTAGAAGGTGACATCCTGAGATGACAGTATCGATGATTTCTGAGAAATAAGATAATTTCTAAGGGATCTTACATCTACTTCATAGCTAGATTCCTTTCTGGCCGTTCAGGAATCTTTGTGCTTAAAAAAATCCTTCTATGTGCTGGATTCGGCAGCACGTATACTAAAATTGGAATGATGCAGAGAAGATTATCATGGCCCTTGCGCAAGGATGACATGCAAATTCGTGAAGTGTTCCATATTTTTCTGAAATAGAGAACAGGGGGACAGTGGCCAGAGGGGAGGGAATTTCAGGGGAAAAAGGGGAACGATTTACAGGAACTAGTATAAAGGACATATGGACAACAACTAAGGGGGGTGGAAATGGGAGGGAGGTGGGGAGTACTGGAGAGGTGGGCTGGGATGGGAGTAAAAGACAGTAAACTGTACTTGACAATAATTAAATTTAAAAAATCTTTCTACTTGAAACTCAGAAAGGTAAATTTTGATTTCCTGCAGTTGGTAGCCTTGATGCCAAACAGCTGAGCCAATACAATTCAATATGTAAATGAAATAAACGTAAAGGTACAAGCTAATCAAATAACACCAGAATCACAGCTAAGAACTAATTTGTAAAACCCTACTGAGGCAGATATTCCATATCTCTTGTACCTTTATGCAGCTCGGGGCTTAGCATTTAAATATTTGTTGAATGAATACTTGAATAAAAATTAGAAAAGATTTCAGAATGTCTCCATGGTGAGATCCCTACCTTTACATGGCTAATAAATTTTTATCCCCATTTTACAATTAAAACAGACAGGGCCCAGGGCCCAGCGAAGGGCAAGAGGAATTAGGTCATGATACAGGCATTGCAGGGTTTCCTTTGTCACACAGATCTTTCAAAGACAGGTGTTGGACATCTTGAGTTCCATTAAAGCAGGAACATGTGGACTAGTTTCAACACTTCAGAAAATTTCACAGAACTGACAGCTAAGCATGTATGATCATAGTAAGGTTTTTTTTTGCTTTTGATTATAACTTGGTACTTCTATATATATTTGATTCAGAAATGGAAAAATCATATGCTTAAAATAAGCTTCTCTTGTAAAAACACATTTTCAAAATGAAATCAATACTTGGAAAATGTATAAAGAAATTATCTACGCTAATAAAAATTTGGGGGCATTGTCTTTTATAAAATTCATTTTTAGATTAAAAAAAGATAAGGCAGAGCTACCAGAAGTGAACACCTATTCTCTTGTACTTCATTTCTCTTCTAAGTGAATAAACTTTACCCTGAGTAAGAAAAAGGATTAGTAGGATTTTTCCATCAGGTGGTTATCTCACCCAGGTGTGCTCAGTCTTACACCACTCGTTCTTGAGCTGTACCAGGAGAGACGCCAGAGCACCAACTCAGAGGCCAATGGTGACATTTGCTACATAAGGAGTAGTAACAACATAGGACATAGTAAACAGACCTAAATATTTTTGTTCACATTTTTCTGTATAGGGGGTTAAACCCATTTGTAAGTAATCTAGATTTTCCTTCAGGTTTTCCTTTTTCTTTTGCTGTACTGTTTTGTTTTTTGTTTTTTCTTTTTTGTGAAGAAAAGTGAACTCTTCTTTTTTTTAGTTACACATGCATAAAAATATTCAGTCTTATTATTTTCACAGCTATTTCATATATTACACACTTATACATGGAAATAACACAAAGGAAAAAAACTTAGCAAAAACAGTAGATCTAACAGTTGAGGCTGTAAGGTTTCACTCTACAATATGAAAGCATGGCTTTCATACACTGAGGCTTTTCTTGGTAGGGGAAGTATCCATCTCCCAGCACCAGGATAGAATTTTGGCTGAGAGTGGGTTTTTTTTAGGCTCTTTTAAAAAAATATTTTACCAAGAAGGACATACAGAGGATCCAGAGACACATGAAGAGATGCTCAATATCGCTAGCTATCAGAGAGATGCAAAGTAAAACCACAATGAGATACTACTTTATACCAGTCGGGATGGCCATCATAAACAAAGCAACAAACAACAAGTGTTGGAGAGGCTGTGGGGAAAAGGGGACACTAGTTCACTGTTGATGGGATTGCAGACTGGTACAACCACTATGGAAAACTCTATGAAATTTTCTCAGAAAACTAAAAATGAATATGCCTTTTGACCCAGCAATTCCACTGTTAGGAGTATATCCTAAGAACCCCGAAACACCAATCCAAAAGAACCTATGCAGCCCAATGTTCATAGCAGCACAATTTACAATAGCCAATGAATGGATCGAAAAACTATGGTACATTTACACAGTGGAATTCTATGCAGCAGAAAGAAAGGAGCTACTATCCTTTGCAATAGCATGAATAGAACTGGAAAGCATTATGCTAAGTGAAATAAGCCAGGCGGTGAAAGACAAATACCATATAATCTCACCTTTAACAGGAAGCTAAACAAGAAAGCAAACAAGCAAGCAAAATATAACCACAGACACTGAAATAGAGAACAGGCTGACAGGGACCAGAAGGGAGAGGGAAGAGAATTTCAGAAGAAAAGGGGAAGGATTCACAGGAACAAGTATAAAGGACACATGGACAAAAATTAAGGGGGGTGGAAATGGGAGGGAGGTGGGGAGCACTGGGGGGGGTGGGCTGGGATTGGAGTAAAAGAAAACTGTATTTGAACAATAATTTTTAAAAATGCTTAAATATTTTGATTATGCTATTACAGTTGTCTCATTTACCCCCCTTATTCCCCTTCACCCTGCACAACCCCTCCCACCCACATTCTCCCCCTTTAGTTCATGTCCATGGGTCATACATGTAAGTTCTGTAGCTTCTACATTTCCTATACTATTTCAACCTCCCCCTATTCTCTACTTACCATCTATGCTACTTACTCTCTGTACCTTTACCCCCTCTCTCACCCTCCCACTCCCCTATTGATAACCCTCCATGTGATCTCCATTTCTGTGATTCTGTTCCTGTTCTAGTTGTTTGCTTAGTTTGCTTTTGTTTTGTTTTTAGGTGTGATTGTTAATAACTGTGAGTTTGGTATTTTACTGTTCATATTCTTGATCTTCTTTTTCTTAGGTAAATCCCTTTAACAGTTTATATAATAAGGGCTGGGTGATGATGAACTCTTTAACTTGACCTTATCTGAGAAGCACTTTATCTGTCCTTCCATTCTAAATGATAGCTTTGCTGGATAGAGTCATCTTGGATGTAGGTCCTTGCCTTTCATGACTTTAAATACTTCTTTCCAGCCCCTTCTTGCCTTCTAGGTTTCT